AAATTAAACGACAATAACGAAATATTAGAAACGTAGGTTGCTTTTATTTAGCATACCAAAGACGTATAGATTCGGTTCCGGGTGGACACACTCCTCAAGCTCGACTAATTTGCTAGCCAGAAGTAAGCCCAGGAAACACGGAAGGTTGGGCGTGAAGGTAGCCACCCCACTCCGTCAAAACAAAACCGCTGCTGCTGAAATTTCAAAAGCCTGAAGCTCCAAACTTCACTCAGAACGCAAGGAATGAACTATATATTGAGAGGAATAAAAATTAAACCCATTTCGAATACACTAACTGGTCAGACAACATTACTTAAATCGGCTATCAGAAATTGCATAGTTTGATAACATTATCTTGCGTAAGAATTTTTAATATATATATATATATATATATATATATGTATACATTATTTACATATGTATACATATATATAATATGTATAATATATATATATACATATAATATACATAGCACATATATAATACATGTATATAATAAATATATACATAACATATATATTATAGATATATATTTATACATAATATATTTCGACAGCGTTGACCGCGAGGTAATTTGGAAACTACTCGAGTACTACGGCGTACCCCAAATATTCATCAACCTTATTCAACAGCTGTACGACAACGGCACATGTCAAGTGATCCACAATGGAAAACTCAGCGAAGCGTTTGGAGTAAACACAGGAGTCAGACAAGGGTGCTTATTATCACCAATGATATTCCTAATTGTGGTGGTCTGGATTATGCGTCAGACAGTGGGAAACGAGAAGACAGGGATATCCTGGATCGACGTGAAGAATCTGGAGGACTTGGATTTCGCGGATGCATTATGTTTGATGTCACACAAAATCGAAAACTTACAAGCGAAAACCGACAAACTGGTCGAAGAAGCAGCAAAGACAGGACTCCAGGTGAACATAGACAAGACGGAGGTTATGTAAATAACCAACCAACCAACCAACAACAACAACAGCAGCAGCAGCAACATCCAGCGCCAATCACCATCAACGGGAGGGATTTGAAAGAGGTTACTTCTTTCACTTATCTAGGGAGCATTGTCTCAACTACAGGAGGAATGGACGAGGATGTCAAATCGAGAATCGGGAAGGCGAGAAACACATTCATCAACCTGAAACCAATCTGGAAATCTTCGTCACTCAGCATCAACAACAAAATCCGGATTTTCAATACAAACGTCAAGTGAGTCAGTCAGTTCTTCTATACGGATCAGAAACTTGGCCAGTGTGTCACAGAGAATATTTCCAACAGCTTGTTGCAGACCTTTATCAACAACTGTCTTCGCTCGATACTGAAGATCAGATGGCCAGCCGGACAGAATCACCAACAAGAAACTATGGGAACAAACAAAGCAAGAACCAATCGCTCAACAAATATGCAGGAGAAAGTGGAGATGGATTGGACACTCGCTGAGGAGGCCGTTGGGTGACATCGCGCGTCAGGCCAGTGCTTGAGTGGAACTCAAAAGGGAGGCGGCGAGTGGGACGTCCCAGGGTGACATGGAGGAGATCATGTGAAGAGGAGCTCAAACAGTATGGACTAACATGGATGCAAGTGAAAAGTACAGCAGAAGACAGAAGCAAGTGGAGACGTGTAGTTGAAGCCCTATGTTCCACTAGGAACCCAAGGGAACAATAATAATAATAATCTTGCTTAAGAACGTAAGTTTTAATTCAGCTTAATCCTTCTTTGTATAGCGCTGTTAGCTTAAGACAGAAGCTAAAAATAAGTAACACTTGTTGCATACATTTCATCAATTAGCTTGCCTTTACTACCTAGCAATCTAACATCCAACCTAAAATCTCATTCAGTGTATGATTTCACTATGAGCTCGTAATTAAATAAAAATAGCAATCTGTTACTTATTGGTAGGGCGTGTTGACCGATTCACTTATTCGAGAATTTGCATCAGCCCCAACAGGCTGAGTGCTGACGAAATCTCAGCATGGATACAAAAGGTTCCTGTGGGATTTGCCAACTTACATCATTTGTGACGTAGATGTGATATCCAGCTATCTATCAAACGACGTGTATACTGCTCAGTGGTTCGTTGTGTCCTCCCTTATGGCTGTGAGATATGGCTAATGAAAGACAAGAAAAGGCTAGCTATCTTTGATCATAGGTGTCTGCGTTCTACCTCCCGCGTTATATGGTATAACAGGGTGAGTAATATTGAGGTTGGGCATCGAGTGCTAGGTAAAGAGGGAAAGTCAATCGATGAGGTCGTGAAGTTACATCACCTGAGATGGTTAGGACATGTGTTACGCAATGTTAGTTGGTATAGGATGGATCAGGTCGGAAAAGAGCTAGTGGTGGTCAAATCAAAACATAGCACCAGTCAATGAACTCCATCACAGTTAGTGTAAGCCACGTAGGGAGGCGTAGAATGCCACACTGATTGGGGTCGTCGGGATGGTAAGGACCAACAGCTCGTGACTATTGTATTAAATATGGGATCTTCCATATCCACTAAGCCCTCATTCTTTCCACGTTTCTACTCTTTCTCCTTTACAATTCTACTTATTACTGTTCTTTTCAGTCTCTTCTTTTTCTCTCTTTCGTCTTCCTTTGTGTGTTTCATGGAGTGTGGTATAACTTGAACTTCTGCGCAAAGTCCTATGTTGAAACCAGTTAGTCACTGATTCACTTCTCCGAACTTCCGTGACAATGTCTCACAGCAGTGGGATGGAACTGAACAATTGGTCGGTTACCTAGCAAGTAGAATGACACATTTTGTCACCCGTACTGCAATTTTGTCACCAACCAATTGATTAAAGAACAACACAATACAAGTCCCTGACTGAAGAACTGGGTAACGTAAGTTCGAATCTTCCAGATAGTATCAGTTTCTTTGTGGTAACAAATACGCCTTACTGATAAGTACTGACAGGCACGAGACCTGATTCTAGGAATTCGTGTTATACACCTTCAACCACCGAACATCAGTGTAAAGTGTACTGAGAAGGCGGATCACTAAACTTGGTGACCACATTGAGGACATGACTAGTAAAATTCAGTGAGCAATACCAATCAGGAGTAAATAGATGACACTGGTTAGTTAACCATCCATTGTTAAACTATATAACATTTTCTTACATTCACAAAACACACCAAGGATACAACCAGACCAGTGGACGGACATGCGGGTAAGTCTACCTAGGTGGAGATGGAAAAACCCTGAATCTTAACCAGTGGTGCACACAGGCTCCAGAATTCGAAAAGATCAAATGGCATATGAACCTGTTTTGGTCACCGTCACTTCTGACGCTGCTTCACTGTCTTATGAGTCAAACTTCAAACCAAAGCTTGGAGGGAGAGAGGGTAGCCCCTTAAGACAACCACCTGTTCTAGTCTCAGCATTCAGGCAATTGTAGCTCAGCTCTCGCACAAACTATGCGCAATTTTGTGTGGCACACCTCTTGGTACCAAGTTTGTGTCCCAATAAAGAAATAAATACAAGGAGGTACTAGAATGATTGTTCTATCAAATTACTTTTTAAAAAACATCATTTATTTTAATTTTAATAAGCGTATATTTATATTTTAGCTGAATATATATATATATGAAGTATAGAGTCAGTATTTATCAATAAAACTCCTTCTCTCTTTCAATATCATTACAATTATTATTTATTATTATTATTATTATCGTCATCAATATTACTGCTATTTCACTCCTCTTTATATAAAGAACAAAAACCTGGAGAGAGAGAGAGATGAAAAACAAGTTATTTAAAATAGGTGAACAAACCAACAAAGAAACAAAATAACACAAAGAAAGAAAGAAATCAGAAAAAAAAGAGTAAATCACTCGAAGAACACAGATGCTGCAGCAGGTGAGTTAAGTTGTGCTTATTCCGCAGACAACACAACTAACTATACTGTTGAACACAGCGCACTTTCTTCCACACGCACACAAACCCACGCACATATACGCACAGACGGGTAAACCCACACCCCCGCAAGACAGCCATGATTAGTAGTCGTAGTAGTAATAGTAAACAAGGTAGGCATTGAATTATACAGCAAATAAAAACAAAACAAAAAGAAACCAAAATATTAAAAATTAAAAAATAAAGTGTTTTTTGTTTTCTTTCAAATAGGAAGAACAATCAGAACAGTCGGTAGTGTGCGAACATCCAATCGTATTAGTCTTGACTGATTCAACCAACGGTTTCTGAGTACATAATGGCCGACGAACACACACACTTTGATACATGAGGGGTGTGTGCAAACAGGTATCGAAAGAAAGACTACTCCAACAGAGTGTGTGAGCGCGCACATGTGTGAGTAGAACTCAAAGAAAACAAGAAAAAAGAATAAGAATATGCAAAACGGAGAAACAAATTGAATGTATGGTGAGAACACAAACTATACTACATAAATGACTACTCATCATTAGTGAATTCAACTGATCAATGAAATGATATGATATGATTCAAAATAGTAATAATATATTAGTAATCACTAGGTGAAAATTGTTTTAACTCCAACCCAAACAAACATAGTACTATATATACTCAAAGAGCATTGTAGTCATTGGTATGATTTTCGATAAGAGAAGAAAGAAAGATGTGAAGAGAGACAAAGAAAGAGAGAGAGAGGGGGGGAGAGAACTTGAATTATGCTCAAAATAGACTCAAGTGTACTCAAGAAAAAAATAAGAAGAAACCATGCTAAAAAGCAAACAGGTTGCCGGCATTTATACATGCATTCACATCTTATTAGTAATAATAGCAGAAATTGAATTGAATTGAATTTACACCACACACTCTCCGCCGCCGTCCAACTGAACTGAAAAGGCAGAATAACTGTGTATCACAACACCTGTTGAATATATATATATCAACAGAACAATATGAGCACAGCCCCATCATATATATTACAAAGACAAGTGGACCACGTGGGCCTTACACATACACACACAAGTTAGAAATTACAAGAAAAGAAAATCACAGAGAGAAAGGCAGGAAAAACGTTATTAATATTAGTATAGTTAGTATTGGCAACATCGTTTAATAGGTGAATATGACTAGTAAGTAGTAGTATGTGTGTGACGACTTTATCAGCTGATCAGAAAAATCATTGAAAAGGAATTCCCATATATATGGTAGCCATTGGTTGTTGTTATTGTTAAGGTAAGATAGAGAAGATAGCTAGCTAAGAGAGAAGAGACACAGGGATAGATAATGTTAATATATGTACAATACATCAATAACTCTTTGTAACTTTGAAAAATTCCTGTGTTCACCAGGATTGAATATATAGGCAAGTAGTCACTTTCCACACAGACACATACACGCAAACCTGTAAAAACACTCGCTATGCTACTCTGTCTCTCTACAGCAGCTGACATATATAGGTGTATATTTATGCGTATAATGTATCGTAAATTAATGCAAACACAAAGGCGCGCATATGAATGAACTAACCACAATAATATATGCACAAGTGTATATATATAGAGAGAAAGACATTATGACATTATTTCACAGATAGTTAGTGAGTTAGTTGGGCAGTTAGTTTGGTTGTAAAATTAACATGTTCTTCAGGTAGAGAAGGGGCTCATCAAACACACACAGGTGCAAATTGGACAATGGCATCATTGTGCGTGTATGTGTGTCTACGCGTGCGTAAGCATGCGTCTATATATCTGTATAAATGAGTGGTAGTGACTGATTAACAGAAACGCATAAACATACTTTACTGGAAATGGTTGTATCACAGTAGGAAAATAAACAATTTAAACAAACAACCAAACCAATAAACAAACAAACAAACATACAAACAAACAAAGGAGTAAACACATGTAAACAAGTAAATTGTATATAAGTATGTCTAAGAAAATAGGCAGTTTAGTAGTTTATATCACTCTTGAAATCTCTTTTCATCACCAAAAAGAGAATCAGCATCATTCCTCTCAACAGAAGAGGTGGGGGAGGGGGGTAAATAAAAACAGCCATTGTGCTCAAATTGATTTTGCTTCTGCATTGAGACAAAACAAAACATGTGAATGAGGAATCAAATGTGAACTGGATAACTAACTAAATAACTAGGAGGCAGATGTGTTCAATGTTTTCCGATGTTTTGTTGATGTATGACGTGTTGACCATTTTTTAGGTGAATAACGTGGATTCGATGGTGCATCGACAAATGACCGCAGTTCATAGGTAGCAACACGTGGATCGAATTCAAATTTATCTCTTGAAAATATTAAGCGTAGATCGGTGTGTAGATATAGTTTACCGGAACGGGTTGTATGAAATCTGTACAAAAAGGAGGTAAAGACAAGAAAAAAACAAGAAAAATTGTGTAGATATTAATTAATTCAACTATGATAATTATAAACAGGATTGTGAATGAATTTTTTATAAAATTAACCAGCTGGACACTAGTCCTTCGTTTAGTGCAGATTGAAATCTATCAGTCGAGTTTGCAGTGTGGCCACCATGCTAGGTGGCTGGTCATTACAATGAACTCTGAATTGTAGTTATCAGATGGATGGAAGCAATCGGCATGCTACTGGTTACTTACTACCTAATGCTCAAACAAAGTATCCACTGCAGTCCTACAGGTGGTAAATGGCAAGCCGGATTAGCTCAGTGGTAACATCTCTGACTGCAGCACCCAGTGACACGGGTTAGAGTCTTAGAGGGGAAATGAGATCCTTCAAGATTGCAGATACGCCTTGCTGACAGGTGAGTGCCAAAAAGCACGAAACCTAGGTACAAGGCTTCCAGACGATTGCCTCTAACAACACCAAAAGTGAACTCTTTTTATACTAACACATAGTCAAATCGTGGTGATTTCAACACCGCACTGGTTGTTCACTCCAGTCGCCGGTTAGTGTAATCAATAACTTATCTGCTTAAACAGCATTACCGATTGTTGTGAATGGTAATGTTAAAACGTGGATTAATTAATAATAATAAAAATAATACTTTTATGCTTAACATCTCAATGAACAACATCACATAATGTTTTCAGATGAATAAGCAGAAACAAAAGAGACTGTACTGAAATTTCAAATACCAAATACGCGCTAATATGTTCAGTATACATGTTAAATTCAAAATATGCCAGGAGATTCAAAACAGAAAACCCAGCAAAGCGTTTGAAGTGAAGAGGGGAGTAATGCAATGCTGCCTGCCTACTACCATCGATGATATACTTGATTGTCGTGGACTGGATCATACAACAGACAGTGGAAAGCGAGAAGACAGGTATAAATTGGACCGATAAGACTTTAGAAGGTCGGTACACATCACAGATGATTTATATCTATTGTCACCTAAACTCGAAGGTTCACAGGGGAAAATCACCAGCAAGTTGACAGAAGAAGCAGAGAAAAAGAAGAATTCAAATTAACATAGAGAAGAAAGAGGTGATAAAAGTAATTAAATGACAATAACAAGCACCAATCACTATCGACAGTAGAAATTTGAAGCAAGTCACTCCTTTCACTTATCCAGGCTGCATCGTTTCAACTATAGACGGTATGGGTTAGGCTATGAAAATCAGCCAGGATCAGAAAAGTAATAATGCCTTACATTCATCTGAAATAAGTGCGGAAATCTACTGCATGCAGCATAAGGAACTAGATCCGGATTCTGAACACTAATGTCAAATCAATGCTTCTATATGATTCAAAGACTCGGCATATTTTCACCAACAACCGCCTTCACTGGCTCTATACTGATGGTCAGATGGCCAAAAAACGTTATGAAACAGAAACTCTGGGAACGGACCAGTCAAGAGCCTATTAGTCAACAAATTTTCCGAAGAAAATGAAGATGGATTAGACGCACACTGAGGAGACTGTTGATTGGTATCACACGCCAGAGAGGTACTCGAGTGGAACCCGAATGGGGAACGACGGGTTGGATATGGGTCCAAGGGTGACATGGAAGAGATAGTGTGAACAGGAGATGAGAGCTTATGGGCAATTGTGTAGGAGAACAAGAGGACTGCAGAGAACAGGGTGAAATATAAATGTGCTGCTAAAGCTCCATATTCCACATGAAACCTAAAGGAATATCAAAAACAAAATTCAAGTGCTGGTTTGCAGGGATTTGATTGGTTGCAGGATTTCATCATGAACTGTCATCGATTAGAGGACTATTGGACAACCACCTGGGAGTACTGGACAGCTGTTTCGTCAGCCTGGTGTGGGACTCTTCATCAGTAGGCACCCACCACCAGGGTTCGAACCCAGGACTTTCTGGCTACAAGGCAAGCTCATAGACCATTGAGTCACTGCAACCCGATCCAATGGTCCGTGGATTCCAACTCCTGCCAATTCACGATATGGCACGACCACTAGCGAATGTCATCTCTGGTGAGTATTTGTTCTCACACCCGACTTGCTGTACCCCATTGGTCACGACTTCTCACCAGAACCCAGGTAACTACCTACCTGAATATATGGCCAGTCTTCCCAGGCAGTTTTCAACACATTCATACGTTATCAACTGTGCGTAAAGAGACGATTCTAACTGGATAATTCGATATCTTAGTTGTGAATGTTTTATTATAAAGGTATAAAAAGAAAGGTTATTTGTTGTAACCATGAGCTTGTACTCAACAGTTTGACTAATAAAAACATGTCATGCATAGAAAAGTACTTAAAGAGGGACACAACTGAGCAGCAGTAATATAGCTATACGAAGACACGACATCAGTTTAAGATCTAGACAAAACACTTTAAAACGCTTGGTCATTGCTACTTAAAATGAAATCTATTCACTATTTAAATACTTTTAAAGTAGAAATAACTTATTATGTAAGATATATATTCATTTACTCTCACTTTTCTTGACTTATTGCCTGGATGCTGATAATACTGCCCACTCGCTAGGGGGAGTGGGGTTCAAATCCACCGCCAATCGGCAGAAAGACGTGAGGTTTAGGCCTAGTGAAACACACATCTCCACCTTTTTTCATTAAAAAGTTCCACAATATATATTTGGGATGCATTACCATTTTATACTACAAGTCCTATTCATCACCAGTATTCGTTAATCACATCAACTCACTGTTTACTATCAGAAGTCAGAGGAAATTCAACCTGTCTGTCACAGAATCAGCGAGGAAGTGATTGAAGAAGAACTGCGTAATCTCCGAAAAACCCTTATGGAAAACGGTTTCCCGCCCAGGTTCATAGACAAAAATCTAAAATCTAAGAAGACTTCAGAACAAGTCCAATCCGCTGCAAAGAAAATACTTCTGCTTAATCTAGAATTCAAAGGTGATATTGAAGCAGAAATCCTTCGCAAACGCCTCTACAAATCTCTTAGGAAAACATACTTCGCCGCGAGCCTACGACTGACGTTTTCTTGCAAGAAACTGTTCAGCCAGAACGTGAGAGACAAGCTGTCGCATTGGGCCACCTCAACATGCATGTACCAGTTTACTTGCTCTTGTGGAGCTGAGTACATTGGCCGTACCATGCGCCGACTTAGAAAACGCGCTCGCGAACACTACCCAGCCTGGCTAGAAAAAGGAGACCAAAAACGTGCATACAGTTCAGTGACAGAGCATCTGGTCAACTCAGGACATTCAGCGCCTTTCGAAAAATCCTTCAAAGTAATATACAAGGTCCAATCAAACCTATCAAAGGGAGTAAAATCAAGACATTTGGGCATAGCTGAGGCGCTAGCTATCCAAAACCTCAAACCCACGCTTTGTATCCAAAAAAATTACGTCCAACTCCTGTCCCTGCCATGGCCATCACAAACAGGTAAAATTTTCTTAGTAATGACAATCTCATCGCCCTTCTTATCTAAACTTCCTGTTTATTCATGTTATTTTAAGTTTTTCTTAATCTCTTTCTGCACTACCATATTTTCATATACACTCTTCCTGTTTATTTTTTCATTTTACTATTTCTACATATTTAATCCCTGACTGCATAAACAATTATTCATCATATTAGTTTTTTATCCAAACATCCTGTATATTTTGTTATTTCTACATTTCTAACCCCCAATTGCACAATGTCAATCTTCTTAGTTATTATAATGCTACTTTATTCGAGTTTTATCCGCCCCCCCTGTTTATTATGGCATTCTAATTCCTAATTGTAATTTTTATTAATTTGACCCTTAACCGGAAATTATTCTGGAACTTCCCCATCCATTTGATATAAATACACGAATGTACAGCCTAGATGATGACTTCGTCGAAAAGAAAATTTTCTTCGCTGCAACTGTCTTTTTAAGAATCATAATCAACACAAACAACACAGGGTACACTTTGCTGAGCTGAGTAGTGCAAACAAAACAAAAAAAAGCTAGACAACCAAGTCAAAACAGGATTAGTTAGTGATTTTCTTCGATCACCCTAATAGTAATAATAATAATAATAATAATAATCCGATTAACACTTCACACACACACACACAAACGTACATACACCATGATGAAACGTTCACATATTAGATTAGTAAGTATGAGATATATATAAACCATTCTGATGGTTTTTAACGAATAATTTATGTGAACTGTCTATCCACAAACAAACATAGAAACGCTAGTATACTAAAAAAAAACAAATACCAAATAAATCCCGGTTGAAAGATCTATCATCTATATAAGTAGATTAAACGTTCATCAAAGAATGTGTGTATATTCGTTTGTATGTATAAGAGTGCGTTTGTGTGTGTGCGTGAGAGAGAGACAGAGAGGTATAAAGAGAATCGGAAGATTGTATGAACAACTCTGCCCAAACGTGATAAACTCGTGTAACCATAACAATTTTGAAAATAAGACGTAAGGCATTAACTTTATCACATACTTCGGTGCACATGACAATATTAAGCTTCCGAGTTATTCAAAAAATTATTATTATTATTATTATTATTATTATTATTGTATCCTTGTGTTCTTATTGGAACATAGGGCTTCAAATGCACGCCTCCACTTGCTTCTCTCTTCTGCTGTACTTTTCACCTGCTTCCATCCATGTTAGTCCATACTGTTTCATCTCCTCTTCACACAATCTCCTCCATGTCACCCTTGGACGTCCCACTCGCCGCTTCCCTTTCGGGTTCCACTCGAGCTATGGCCTGACGCGCGATGTCACCCAGCGGCCTCCTCAGCGAGTGTCCAATCCATCTCCACTTTGTCCTGCATATTTGTTGGGCGATTGGTTCTTGTTTTGTTCGTTCCCATAGTTTCTTGTCGGTGTTTCTTTCCGGCGATCTGATCTTCAGTATAGAACGAAGACAGTTGTTGATAAAGGTCTGCAACCTGTTGGAAACATTCTT